CATTAGTTATATTTTGTTAAGGGTTGCATTAGATATATAATGTTAAGAGTTCCATCATGTATATTATGCTAAGAGTTGCATTATCTATATATTGTTAAGAGTTACATTAGTTATATTTTGTTAAGGGTTGCATTAGATATATAATGTTAAGAGTTACATTAGATATATAATGTTAAGAGTTACATTAGATATATTGTCTTAAGAGTTACATTAGATATATAGTCTTAAGAGATGCATCATATATAGTATGTAAAGCGTTACATTTGACACCATATCTTTGACTTACAGTGGATACATTATATTAGACTTGCATAACATATGTTATCTTTAGAGCTCTTTACATATATTATGTTAAGTGTTGCAATAGATATATATTGTTAAGAGTTACAGTAGATACACATTTGATGTGAAGACATGAACACACACTGTCCATGTGAAGACACGAACACACACAGTCCATGTGAGGACATGAACACACTGTTGATGTGAAGACATGAACAGACACAGTTCATGTGAAGACATAATCAGACACAGTTCATGTGAAGACATAAACAGACACGGTTGATGTGAAGACATGAACAGACACAAATCATGTGAAGACATGAACACACACGGTTGGTGTGAAGATATGAACAGACACAAATCATGTGAAGACATGAACACACACAAACTTGATGTGAGGACATGAACAGACACAGTTGATGTGAAGACATGAACAAACACACTTGATGTGAGGATATGAACAGACACAGTTCGTGTGAAGACATTAAAAGACACAGTTCGTGTGAAGACATGAACAAACACAGTTCATGTGAAGACATGAAAAGACACAGTTCGTGTGAAGACATGAACATACACAGTTCATGTGAAGACATGAACAGACACAGTTGATGTGAAGACATGAACACAGAGAGTTGATGTGAAGACATGAACATACACAGTTAATGTGAAGACATGAACATACACAGTTGATGTGAAGACATGAACACACACAGTTGATGTGAAGACATGAACACACACAGTTGATGTGAAGACATGAACATACAGTTGATGTGAAGACAAGAACATACACAGTTAATGTGAAGACATGAACATACACAGTACATGTGAAGACAAGAACACATAAGTCCATGTGAAGACATGAACACTTACAGTCCATGTGAAGTCATGAACATACAGTTGATGTGAGGACATGAACACACACACAGTTGATGTGAAGACATGAACACACAGTTGATGTGAAGACATGAAGACACACAGTTGATGTGAAGACATGAACACACAGTTGATGTGAAGACATGAACACACACAGTTGATGTGAGAACATGAACACACACAGTACATGTGAAGACAAGAACACATAACTCCATGTGAAGACATGAACACTTACAGTCCATGTGAAGACATGAACACACAGTTGACGTGAAGACATGAAATAGCAAACATAGTTGACGTGAAGAATTGAACACACACAGTTGATGTGAGAACATGAACACACACAGTACATGTGAAGACAAGAACACACACAGTTCATGTGAAGACAAGAACACATAAGTCCATGTGAAGACATGAACACTTACAGTCCATGTGAAGACATGAACACTTACAGTCCATGTGAAGACATGAACACACATAGTGCATGTGAAGACATGAACACACAGTTGATGTGAAGACATGAACACACACAGTTGATGTGAAGACATGAACACACACAGTACATGTGAGGACATGAACACACACAGTCCATGTGAAGACATGAACACACAGAGTACATGTGAGGACATGAACACACACAGTCCATGTGAAGACATGAACACACATAGTGCATGTGAAGACATGAACACACAGTTGATGTGAAGACATGAACACACACAGTACATGTGAGGACATGAACACACACAGTCCATGTGAAGACATGAACACACATAGTGCATGTGAAGACATGAACATACAGTTGATGTGAGGACATGAACACACAGAGTCCATGTGAAGACATGAACACACACAGTCCATGTGAAGACATGAACACACACAGTCCAAGTGAAGACATGAACACACACAGTCCATGTGAGGACATGAACACACACAGTCCATGTGAAGACATGAACACACATAGTGCATGTGAAGACATGAACACACAGTTGATGTGAAGACATGAACACACACAGTACATGTGAGGACATGAACACACACAGTCCATGTGAAGACATGAACACACATAGTGCATGTGAAGATAGGAACACACAGTTGATGTGAGGACATGAACACACAGAGTCCATGTGAAGACATGAACACACAGAGTCCATGTGAAGACATGAACACACACAGTACATGTGAAGACATGAACACACAGTACATGTGAAGACATGAACACACATAGTTGATGTGAAGACATGAACACACAGTTGATGTGAAGACATGAACACACACAGTACATGTGAAGACATGAACACTTACAGTCCATGTGAAGACAAGAACACACAGTTGACTTGAAGACACGAACACACACAGTACATGTGAAGACATGAACACACATAGTTGATGTGAAGACATGAACACACAGTTGACGTAAGAACATGAACACACACAGTACATGTGAAGACATGAACACTTACAGTCCATGTGGAGACAAGAACACACAGTTGACTTGAAGACATGGACACACACAGTACATGTGAAGACATGAACACTTACAGTCCATGTGAAGACATGAACACACAGTTGACGTGAAGACATGAACACACACAGTACATATGAAGACATGAACACACTCAGTACATGTGAAGACATGAACACACACAGTACGTGTGAAGACATGAACACACAGTACATGTGAAGACATGAACACACAGTTGATGTCATGACATAAACACACTCAGTTCATTTGAGGACATGAAACCTTAGGAAACTATGTACTCTGAAACCTTTTATTGTCATTCTGTTATGAATACCTCCAGCAGCCATAACAGCACGAAACAGTAGCATTTACTTGAAGTGATGGTATTTTGATTTTTGATATACTATTTTTGACTTGGAAACCCAATCTCTGTTGTGATATGCCTTCGCCAATAAGCAAGGTATGTGTTGATTGCATGCCGGGGAGCACTACACCGATCTGCACACACATATGATGTGATGACACGATACTCTGCAACACAACTGACTGCTATTGTCGACACTTAATCGCTGTAACTGTACACCAAAAACATAGTACGCCAGTCCCACTGAACAGCGGCCTTCGACACTGGTTATGGTGTTGTTAATGGCAATTCAAAGGTTCAAGTATGCAGTAGTTAATGAAAAGCAAATTCATTAAGCTTTGACTTTGAGAGTAAGTTGTGGTTAGAGATGAGATCTGTCCACTAGGGGGCGCCTAGAGTTGTGGAATGTCGACTAGGGTAGCAGCATGGAGATTGCAGATAGCGGGCAAACGTCACTCTAGCACGGCTTGCCTTGAACACTGACACGGGAATACGGGGGTTTGGTTACAGAGCCCCTCCCCCTCATCCCGCCCAGAGTGAGTCATGACAGAGATTCCCCCCCCCCCCCCCCCCCCCCCTCCCTCCCCCCCCCCCCTCCATCTCCTGCCTTGGAAGGGTGCTTGTAGGAGATGGGTGGGGGTTTATGCACACCTCCCCTCAGCCCCGACCCCTTCCTTTGTTTCTACCCGTATAGTGATTTGCAGCACACCTATAACCCCTCACTTGTGAGGTATTTGTCGTGCATTGAAGCTGAAAACAGTCCGTCGGTCTCATTTGATGGCGCGCTGAAACGCTGGTCAGGATAGCGGGCTGCTTAAGGTTTGTAATTATGTAATCTAACGATGCGAGCCTGGGAGATAAGCAATATGTTTATCTGTCCATCGGCGTTTCTGGTAGATCAGCATGCCATTGAGGGCTGGGAGGGAGTGAATAGCGGAGAGCAGACGAGCCTAGCACTAGGCGTCTGAACGGGTTCATTTCTTAAGCGTTAAAAGGCGGTTTTCAAGATCCTTTGTTACCAACAATGCCCTGCTTGTGGTCTAAGTATGTATAAGTTGGCCGTGACATCCACACTGACGGTGTCGTCACGCAATGTGGTAGCGCACGGGGAAGATGGGGGGTCGGGGAGGGGAGGGGCGGTTGGGGTGTTGAGTTAACTGTTTATTGAAACTAAACAAATAGTGTTGGATAGCTCCAGATCATCCGTGAAGACCCTTCAAGGTCTAGATGTCCGATCTGAGAGAATGCTTTAGGCCCTAGAAACTCTACCATATCTACCACGACCATCACGTCTACCACGTCTACCTGGTCTATATCGTCTACCACGATCACCACGTCTACCACGATCACCACGTCTACCACGTTCAACACGACCACTACGCCAACCACGTTTACCACGTATACGTCGTCTCCTCACCTCCTCACTGCTTCTAACGTTCTCTCTTTTCCGACTTCTGAAGTCTGAAGTCCTCTCCCTTGTCTGACGTCCCCCCACGTCTGGTGCTGCTCCTCATCCCGGCTCCTGACGTCCTTTCTCCCTGGTGTTGCTCCTCACTCCGATAGCTGACGCCCTGTCCCCCTGGTGTAGCTTCTCACTCCGACTTCTGGCGTCCTCCTTTCCTGGTGTTGCTCCTCACTCCGACTTCTGACGTCCTGCATTCCTCGTGTAGCTCCTCACTCCGACTTCTGACGTCCTGCATTCCTCGTGTAGCTCCTCACACCGACTTCTGACGTCCTCCCTTCCTGGTGCAGCTCCTCACTCCGACTTCTGACGTCATCCCTTCCTGGTGCAGCTCCTCACTCCGACTTCTGACGTCCTGCATTCCTGGTGTAGCTCCTCACTCCGACTTCTGACGTCCTCCCTTCCTGGTGCAGCTCCTCAATCCGACTTCTGACGTCCTGCATTCCTGGTGTAGCTCCTCACTCCGACTTCTGACGTCCTCCCTTCCTGGTGCAGCTCCTCACTCCGACTTCTGACGTCCTGCATTCCTCGTGAAGCTCCTCACTCCGACTTCTGACGTCCCCTCTTCCTGGTGTAGCTCCTCACACCGACTTCTGACGTCCCCCCTTCCTGGTGCAGCTCCTCACACCGACTTCTGACGTCCTGCATTCCTGGTGTAGCTCCTCACTCCGACTTCTGACGTCCTGCATTCCTGGTGTAGCTCCTCACTCCGACTTCTGACGTCCTGCATTCCTGGTGAAGCTCCTCACTCCGACTACTGACGTCCTGCATTCCTGGTGAAGCTCCTCATTCCGACTTTTGACGTCCTGCATTCCTGGTGTAGCTCCTGACTCCGACTTCTGACGTCCTGCATTCCTGGTGTAGCTCCTCACTCCGACTTCTGACGTCCTCCCTTCCTGGTGCAGCTCCTCACACCGACTTCTGACGTCCTGCATTCCTGGTGTAGCTCCTCACTCCGACTTCTGACGTCCTCCCTTCCTGGTGTAGCTCTTCACTCTGACGTCCTCCCTTCCTGGTGTAGCTGATCAGACCGATTTCTGACGTCCTGCATTCCTGGTGTAGCTCCTCACGCAGACTTCTGAGTCCTCCATTCCTGGTGTAGCTCTTCACTCTGACGTCCTTCCTTCCTGGTGTAGCTCCTCACACCGACTTCTGACGTCCTCCCTTCCTGGTGTAGCTCTTCACTCTGACGTCCTCCCTTCCTGGTGTAGCTGATCAGACCGATTTCTGACGTCCTGCATTCCTGGTGTAGCTGATCACACCGACTTCTGACGTCCTGCATTCCTGGTGTAGCTCCTCACTCCGACTTCTGACGTCCTCCCTTCCTGGTGTAGCTCTTCACTCTGACGTCCTTCCTTCCTGGTGTAGCTCCTCACACCGACTTCTGACGTCCTCCCTTCCTGGTGTAGCTCTTCACACCGACGTCCTTCCTTCCTGGTGTAGCTATCACCCTGACTTCTGACGTCCTCCCTTCCTCGTATAGCTATCACCCTGACTTCTGATGTCCTCCCTTCCTCGTATAGCTATCACCCTGACTTCTGACTTCCTCCCTTCCTCGTATAGCTATCACCCTGACTTCTGACGTCCTTCTTTCCTGGTGTAGCTCCTCACACCGACCTTTGACGTCCTCCCTTCCTGGTGTAGCTATCACCCTGACTTCTGACGTCCTCCCTTCCTCGTATAGCTATCACCCTGACTTCTGACGTCCTCCCTTCCTCGTATAGCTATCACCCTGACTTCTGACGTCCCCTCTTCCTCGTATAGCTATCACCCTGACTTCTGACGTCCTCCCTTCCTCGTGTAGCTATCACCCTGACTTCTGACGTCCTCCCTTCCTCGTATAGCTATCACCCTGACTTCTGACGTCCTCCCTTCCAGGTGTAGCTCCTCACACCGACCTTTGACGTCATCCCTTCCTGGTGTAGCTGATCACACCGACGTCCTTCCTTCCTGGTGTAGCTATCACCCTGACTTCTGACGTCCTCCCTTCCTCGTATAGCTATCACCCTGACTTCTGACTTCCTCCCTTCCTCGTATAGCTATCACCCCGACTTCTGACGTCCTCCCTTCCTCGTATAGCTATCACCCTGACTTCTGACGTCCTCCCTTCCTCGTATAGCTATCACCCTGACTTCTGACGTCCCCCCTTCCTCGTATAGCTATCACCCCGACTTCTGACGTCCTCCCTTCCTCGTATAGCTATCACCCTGACTTCTGACTTCCTCCCTTCCTCGTATAGCTATCACCCCGACTTCTGACGTCCTCCCTTCCTCGTATAGCTATCACCCTGACTTCTGACGTCCTCCCTTCCTCGTATAGCTATCACCCTGACTTCTGACGTCCTCCCTTCCTCGTATAGCTATCACCCTGACTTCTGACGTCCTCCCTTCCTAGTATAGCTATCACCCTGACTTCTGACGTCCTCCCTTCCTCGTATAGCTATCACCCTGACTTCTGACGTCCTCCCTTCCTCGTATAGCTATCACCCTGACTTCTGACGTCCTCCCTTCCTCGTATAGCTATCACCCTGACTTCTGACGTCCTCCCTTCCTAGTATAGCTATCACCCTGACTTCTGACTTCCTCCCTTCCTCGTATAGCTATCACCCTGACTTCTGACGTCCTCCCTTCCTCGTATAGCTATCACCCTGACTTCTGACGTCCTCCCTTCCTCGTATAGCTATCACCCTGACTTCTGACGTCCTCCCTTCCTCGTATAGCTATCACCCTGACTTCTGACTTCCTCCCTTCCTCGTATAGCTATCACCCTGACTTCTGACGTCCTCCCTTCCTCGTATAGCTATCACCCTGACTTCGTGCGGCCCACCCTGCCTGGAGCTGCGACCGGCTTGGTTTCATCACGTCCGCGATAACATCGAACTGTCCCGTACCTCTGTCTGGCCAGTCGAGCCGGCGTGAGTAACGACGTTCCCTCACGGAGACGTTACTATGAGTCACTGGTGTGACATGCTTCACACTTACAAGGCTTTTGTCTCTTGAATTGCTATACAGAAAACGCTGTATCATTATGTGAACATCAGTGCCTTTGTAACGTGACTTGTAAATGCCTCCAATATGAGGGCTATGTGACTAACGCCAACAAAGCATGTGCAACCATTAAGTCAAGCAGATATTTCACTTAAAACTGCAAGATAATATTTCAACGTATCAAATGTGTAAATAACTGCCAGAAATACATTACCTGTGAATTGGTGAATTGTTGTTCAATGAGGTACTTAACCAAGTCGGCAATAACAGATTTAGAAGGCGGGGAGAACATGGGTGTGTTCATCATCCACATAAACAGCCACCAGAGTAACAAGACCCCCCCCCCCCCCCCCCAAACCCCCCTCCCCCCACACACACACACACCCCCACACCCACCACCCCACCACCCCCACACCCACACCCACACCACCACCCCTAGTACAGAGGTAGGATACAGCGTGATAAACTATAACTCATAAGACATATCAATGATTTTCGGCGACATATATACGATATGTTAGGATAGTTCATATATATATCGAGTGAAATAATAAAGTTATAAGTCATCTTGCCATAGAAGCCCATTTCCAGACATGAACTGAAACACGTGAGGAACAGAAACATGGCGTCACACTAGAGCGCTCCCTTGATAACTTATATGCACATTTTGGAGAGACAAATGACATCGAAATTGTCCCCAGAAATATAATTGATGACCCTTCATAATTTATTTACGTGCTATCCGTTTGACCATCCCGAATAGCTCGGATGTAATTACATTTTGGAATGAAAACAACCATAGTTATCAAGAAAAGTATTTTTACGCAGTGAATGATCGGAAAGTTTTCAGAAAGCAGCCACTTTAGCAACTTGTTTCATCCAGTCAGATTGCCACACGCATCCCATTAATTTGACAATCCGTAATGGACCCATAATTTATGATGCATAATAATCTATCAATGTATATTGGGAGTGTAATCTTCCATTAACTCGCATATATAGTTATGATTCTCGGTGACATATATTGTATAGTTGTAAAGTGCATTGAGGTCTGTGTTAGAGATTAGTATAATTGATCTCAGATATAACTGAATGCGGTGAATGTGCAGTAGCCAGTCAGTGCCCGCTGTCTCTGCCCTGTCGACCCCCTGCAGAACATGGTAACTGACACTGTGTGTATTGGTTAAAGCATTTCACCAGAGGGTCTTGTCATATCAAATACAAGTGTATCAACACAGGTTGGTTAGATCAGGAAAACTCTTTGTTGAAGATGTTTTCTCACTTGAATCGATGATTTCATTTATTCTACAACATCCTACTGAATCAATATTTACTGAACATTTAATTTTACCACAATCTTAAAGGGCACTTCTTCCATTCGAAATTTGATGTGGCCGAACCATTGAAGAACCATGTACGAAATCAATGTGAAACGTTATTAATATGTTTCTAAAACATAATCACGTGTACAAGATTCCTTTTGACTTTATTTTTGTGGTCTATCCGTGTCATTGAAATTGAAAGATCAATATAAATGCCAACTTAAATGTTGTGTTTGTGATTACTATACACACATGTTGCACGCAATTCTTTGCATTTGTTCTGTAGATGTGGTGGCGTATCCTTTAACTCGCTGTCACGTTGTTACGTTCCTATGACGTCACAACTATATAACGTTTGGCTCGTGCACTCACATGCATTCTTGCTAACCAACAAGTTTGAAATTCAATCAATATTTTAATTTGTACGAAGGCCAAAGTCTCAAACACATCAAACACATCAAACACATCAAACAGGTACCGGTCACAACATCAATGAAATGTACATTAATCTTTACAATGATATGTACATGTCAAGCTGTCTGGGGCTCTGAATGAAATAATATGTCTAAAATCAATAACATTTACATCATAAATGTCTTTGGAAAAGACCTTATTCTAAATTCATTGCATGGGACACGACAACAAGAAGTGGTTCTCGTCGTCGTGTCCTCACTTCCACTATGGACGAAATCTTCTAAGCACAACTAGATGCTATACATTGTGGACACTTGGAAGTCAGTATTGAATAACAACATGACAAACATAGCTCTGTAATATACAGCCGACAAATGTTTATTGGAACAACCAGGTACAGACGACAAATGTTAATTGTAACAACCAGATACAGCATACAAATGTTAAGAGGAACAACCAGATACAGCATACACATGTTAAGAGGAACAACCAGATACAACATACAAATGTTAAGAGAAACAACCAGATACAGCATACAAATGTTAAGAGAAACAACCAGATACAGCATACAAATGTTAATTGTAACAACCAGATACAGCCGACAAATGCTAATTATAACAACCAGATACAGCATTCAAATGTTAATTGGAACAACCAGATACAGCATACAAACGTTAATTATAACAACCAGATACAGCCTACAAATGTTAATTATAACAACTAGATACAGCCTACAAATGTTAATTGGAACAACAAGATACATTCTACAAATGTTAATTGTAGCAACCAGATAGAGCAGACAAATGTTAATTGTAACAACCACATACAGCCGACAAATGTTAATTGGAACAACAAGATACAGTCTACAAATGTTAATTGTAACAACCAGATACAGCCGTCAAATGCTAATTGTAACAACCACATA